ATCAAAGATGGAATCTCATCTTTTTGAAAAAATCTCTGCAGCGAATAAGCACTTACCAACAAAGCACAAAGAAAACCCTTCAATTGGTAAAAAAAAAAAAAAAAAAAAAAAAAAAAAACCACAACTTTATCCAAACATCCCTTGTACAAACAACTTCTATCTAGAACATATACAGAATTGAAATAATCAGGCCTCCAAAATTCAATGACCCAATCCAAAAATGGACATCTCAGGTAAATACAAACTTCTCAGATGAAGTGATAGAAATGGCAAGTAAATACATGAAAAAAGTTCAACATCATTAGTAACTCAAGAAATGCAAATTAAAACATCACTGAGATTCCATCTCATGCCAGAAAGAATGGCTATTGTCAAAAATTCAATGAATAACAACTTCCGGAAAGGCTGTGGGGTAAAGAACCCTTCTGCCCTATTGTTAGGTGTATAGACTGGTGCAACCATTGTGGAAATCAGTGTGGAGATTCCTCACCAAACTAAGATTTTGGTCCCATTCAACCTAGCTATTTCCCTTCTAGGTATTTTTCCAGAAGAACTGAGAACATGTCACTGCCATATATGCATACCCAAGTTTATAACAGCACAATTTGGCATAGCTCAATCTTGGAAACAACCCAAATGCCCATCAACTGATAAATGGATAAAAAGTGATATGGCAAAAAGAAGATGTGATATTTTTATACAGTGGAGTATTAATCAGCTATAAAGAGTGACCAACTTGAGGCTTTTATAAGTAAAATGGATACCACTAGAGACTGTACTCATAAGTGAAATAAGTCGCATAAACATAAGTTTATAAGTTGCATAAACATTGTATTGTTTCCCCAGTGTAAGAATATGAGAGAGTGTATAAAATCTGAAAGATAAAATAGAAGATGTGAAAGGGAAAGAAACTGCTCAAAAAGAAACAACTGGGATGAGGATAAAGAGAAAAAAAAAAGAAAGAAAAAGGAAAGAAAGACAAAAAGAAAACATATACACAAGCAAGATAGCTAAAGTAATTTTACTACTAATTTCTATCAGTTTTTTGAAAGGAATAATTAATGCTTCATTTTTTACCAATTTTGCATGCTTATATCTGGTAATATGAACAAATACTTTGAAGACAACAATATCTAATATAACAATGATTTTTGAATTTGTATATATTTTTTGTAATTCTGTATCATTTCTAGTGATTTTATTATGTTTTACTCTCTTTAAAATAAAAACTAAGTCAGGGGGAAATTCTGTAAAAATAACACTACTGCTGAAGTGTCACACCAAGCAACTCTGGGACTGGTGGCTGTGAAGGCTCGACACAGAGCCTCTCCATGCAGACAGGCAAGGGAAATGCAGATGAGTGGGGCATTATGATGGAGGCATGAAAGACAGAAAGGGTCACACTTAGTCCACATGGCACAGTGCCCCATTTATGTAGCCAGGAGCTGGTGATGACATCACTACCCCAGATCCTACTGGTGGTGCAATGTGTCAATTTTAAATTCTTTGTCTCTGCAACTACAAGGTCATGACCTACTCAAGTGACTGATGTTTTTATTCACTGTGTGGAGCATGTTGAATTTTAGCAAAAATATGGAGACAGCCTCCAGTATATTAGGAGATGACTGTAAGAAGTCTACCAAATTATATCTCTCAGAAAATGAATTACATGTCACAACATATCAAAAATTGAAAATGCACTGAAGTTGATTTGGGTGATGTAAAATTCCAATATATATGAGGTACAGGGTTCCTCAAAGTATGAAACACTGAATGCTTTTATTGCAATGTTAATTGAAATTCTTCCTCTATTTAGGAAGTCGCTTCCCTAAATAGAAGAATGACATTGGGAAAAGCACAGAATTTTAGCAGGGTCAGACAAAACTGTGAAATTAAATGATATTGGCCAATTTTGATAAAGGTTCTCTAAAATGTCTCTTTTTTTTCTTTTTGGTGTGGTCCTCTCTCAGCTAAAGAGTTGGCTGGAAGATCAGCCTCCTGCTGGAACCACACATTACCAACAACATGTAGCAAGAGTGACAAATTCCCTGTGTCTGACTTTTGAGCTTTGCACCAAATCTATGACAAAAAGGAAGTCACGAGCGAAAAGTCCAAGATGCACATTCAAGCCAAGACTGACTGCCCTCAGACAATGTCCATTCAGAAAAATCTTCCACACAATTTCACCTGCATCCCCACAGCAGCAGGTGGAGAACCGTGTGTGTCACACTGCAAAGGGATTGTGAATGACAGCTGGCCCAGGTTTTCCTGGAAGGGCAGGAATTCAGCCCCCTGGGGCAGCCCTGTGTGCGAGTGACCCTAGGACCTCCCCACTCAGTCTTCTCAGGGTGAACAAGGGCTGCTGTCCAACATAGCTTCCAAGCTCAACACCCAGCTGGGTGATTAAACATGGCCAGCTTCTCCCCAACACCGTGCTAGGAAGGACTGCATCTTTATTGTGACCCTGTGACTCACAGGGAAAGTGGAAATCAGAAAGTTCAGAACCTGCAATCTGCAGTTTATAAAGGTAGATTCATATTCAAACTTTTGACCCCCCAGAATATGCTGTTTGTTCTGCACCAGGAAAGTGCAAAGTCTGGGTACAAGAGAAAGCTTCCTTCTTGTAGCCAGCTGCTAAACATGCAACTGTTATTGCCGACAACTTTCTAGATTTTGAATGCTGAACCAAGTAACTTGCTAGCTGTACCTCTTTGTTTGGGGGTATGCTGTTGTTTTGCTTTGGTTTTGAATTTGCTTTAGACACACATTCTCTCTAGTAGCCCAGGCTGGACTCGATCTCAGACTTGCAGCGATCTCCCTGCCTCAGCCTCCCAGCTGCTGGGATAGCAGGTGTGCACCACCATACACAGCTCCAGCTGCTAAAAGGAAAAAGAATCATCCAGAAGCCACCTCAGCTATGCCAAGTTTCAAATCAACCTGCTGCTTCTTAGCATCTTGGAATTATGAGTCAACAATACTGTTTTCATTCACAAAATATAATAGTGACATTCCTGACTTCTAAAAGCCCCCAGGAGAGAGGTCCCTTTCCATTCTTCCTCTTGAATTCTAATCCACTGCTACACCAGGATGGAGTTTGCAGCTGCTTTGTGTCTGTCTTCGTCTTGCCTTCCTGATTCTGAGGGTTGGTAGGCAGCAGAGCACCAGGTTTATGGGTGCGAAGGTTCTACAGACAGTGCAGGGTCCCAGAGTGGGAAACCTCTAGTGTCCCATTGTCAGCACAACCATTCCTGCTAATAGCTGGTAGATGTGCATTCAGAGCCTGCCGGCACCCCAGGCACATTTCCAACCGACAATGTAGCACACATAGGAATTCATCCTAACCCAGCAAAAATCACTTAGCTTAATAACA